AAATTGGCATACAAAAAAGTTAAGTGAGCATAAAAGGAGAACTCCTGAAGAGTACCACTGCTGCCAAGAAGAACTAATAACCTCGTTGCTCCCTGCAAAGGAGTAGACGAAGGAGGCAGAGGAGTACAATTGTGGAGACAACTAACTCTGCAAAAACAAGCTTGCTAATAACCTATATCACCGAAATAAGACTGAAAACTAAATTACTGTTTACTAAATGAATAAAATTCCAGGTATTAAAGTTCTATATATTCCAAAAAGTTGCAATAAGATTTGATAAGCAAAATACTAATAAATAGAAAAAGGGGGGACTTGTAATAGTTAATAAAAGCAAAAGTGAATAATTTGCTAATCAAATTAAATTTGTAATGTTAGTAACTAGTTTGAATTACAGGTGTCAAGCCACAATGTTGTATTACTATGGCAAGCTATATCTTCTTGTGTTGAACAAGTTTTGAATGCAAGTTTGGGTGTGCCTGTAAAATGTAAGTGGGGGAAAGTCGTCCAGAGGAACGGGGTGGGGGGGGGGGAAGAGAAGCCTGCCGCCTTCCCGCCCTCATCCGGGACCTGCCGCTGTCATCTAAGTGCCACCTACAGGGGAGGGGATAATGGCACATATAAAAGACCAGTGCACGTTTTTTGGCGGGAAGACTGTTGGTGGAACAGGAGTTTCCCCGGGTCTCCCAGCGCGCTGTTTTGCTTATTTGCTTTCAAAAAATTTCTATTATATTTTAAAAATATATCTGGTCTTTTGACTATAACAACTGGACCATCTCCCAGAGTCACACCACGTGCCCTGGAGTATTGTCCAAACGCTTCTTGGACTTGCACCAAACCAGCAGTGCTGAACCCTCACACAGGCACCTCCTGCTCCCAGACAGCAGCATCTCCAGCTTCTGGGGAAGGGAGAGGGGATGCAGCCATCACCTAAGTTATGCCAAACAGGGTATTCACGTTGAACCTTCATGTCTGCCTCACCCCTTGTCATAGTTCTGATTGTAGCAAGGAATTTTGTCTTTCCTTTTCCCTTCCCCCCCCCCCCCCCGCTGTTAAGGAGCAATCAGATAACAAAGGAGTTGGCCTGAGACCTAAATGGCCAGACATTTATCTGCTGGCAACGAAGGGGGAGGGATTGGGAAGAAGGCCAGGGTGTGTGTATGGAAAGAGGTGGGGTTTTGGGGGGTTGGAGCTCAGCTCGGGAGCGGGAGGGGAGTCTGCAGCAGAGAGGAGAGACTGCCTGGTTTCTTCTTTTGTCTTTTCCTGTGGGAGAGGAGTTTTTGCTGCTGTCTCTCTGCACAGTTGTCGGCTGGTTGCAGGCTTGGTTTTCACCGCGGGATCTTCACCAACTGAGTCGTGAGTTTTTTCTTCCATTGGGAGAACTTTCTGTTTCCCTTCCCCTTCCCCCCTCCTCCTCGCCACCCGGCGGCGACCAGGGATCCCACAGCGCCGCCCGGTGATGAGCGCTGGACATTGCAAGTTCCACTCCTCCAGTGATCCAACAGCGCCCCCTGGTGACTACTATAGAACATTACAAGTTCTGCACTTTTGATGACTCAACAGCGCCACCTGGTGAACGGTATAAGACATTACAAATTTTGCATTTCCAGTGACCCGACGGCGCCCCCTGCTGACTGTGGCTGGAACTGCACCAAAGAGTGCTAAAAATTGAACTATTTGATTTTCTTTTTTGCCGGTTTTATCGGTTTTGTTCTTGAAGGGGATTATTGGTGGGTATAGGGGTATTGCTTGGTTATTTTACTTGGTTTTTTTTTTTTTCTCGTGTTACGTTAATACACACATACCTTTTAATAGAGGGCTGTTATTTTTTCTTTCCCTTTTCCATAATTTGTTTTTCCTTCAATCGGAGCCTCTTAATTTCGGATCTATAATTGCTAGAGAAGAAAGTTTGGGTCTTTTTCTCCTAATTCATCCTCAGCAAAAGACCCTTGTCTCAATTAAACTGGGACACCCCTCCGGGAGGATTTCTGGGCATGTGCTGGGAATTCCTGGAGGCGCTGCCATTGCTGGAGGAGCTACGTTTCTGCTCTTCCTCCCCCTGTCCTGGTTTTAGCTCTCCTGAAGGAAACATTTGCTTCGAGAGGCCTCAAAACACCCCCAGGTCCTTCTCCATGAAATACCCTCCCTCCCAGTTTTGTGAAATCACCTGGTGCAGGCAGGGAAGGTGTCCACACAAGTTCTTGGAGAGGGGCAGAGGCAAATGGAAA